AGCAGTTTTCAGAGACAATAAATCACAGGGGGAAATATTACCCATCTTTCTCCCAAGAAGTTGCTGGTAGATTCAAACTACATACCTTTGGGTTGTCAATGCAACTCCATATCTCTAAGCTACCAGTGCTCATGGTATGACTAGACTGTCAAATTTAACAAAATACTCAAGCAATAGGGAGTAAGCTAGATGATTGAAACTTAAAATTAAATCTGTATACATCAGAAGAGTAAAGGGGGAAAAATGCTTGGCAGTGACACAACTGGCAAAGGACTGATAAAATTGTCAGGTAAATTCCAATACCTTATCAAGAAAACGACACACAACCCAATTACAAAATGGTCAAAGGACATGAACAGATACTGCACTACAGAAGATATTCACATGGCCAACAAACAAATGAAGAAATTCTCAAGATCATTAGTTGTTATTAGGTGCAGTTGAGTCTGATAGCAACCTTATGAACAACAAATCAGAACCTTGCTCTTTGTGGTGCCATCCTCACGATCTGTCATTCCCAAGAACCATTGTCAACCCCTCATGTCAGTCCATCTCCTTGAAAGTCATCTCCTTGACCTTCTGCCTTTCTCAGCATGATATCTTTCCATGGAGTGGTCCCTCTTGACACCATGCCTAGAATGTGTGAAGTTTCACCATCTTTGCCTCTAAAGAGCACCCTGGCAGTCTTGCTTTAAGACAGATTTGCTTGTTCTTTTGGCGGTCCATGATTTTTCAGTGTTCAGCTTACCATAGCAAAAACAGCAGTGTTCAGTAATACACAGACAGCAAATATTGGCAAAATAAAAAGGAATGAGAGGTTAGAACTCTCATACCCTGTTAGTGGAAATGCCCAATAGGACAACCACTATGGAAGCAGTTTGGTGCTTCCTTAGAAAGTTTGGGACTAGAAATACCTTTTGATCTAACGAACTCAGTCCTAGGGACAATCCGAACAAAGAAGAGCTGCAGCATAAGCTGGTATGCATAGCCGAGAGTTAAAAACAGCCAGAATGTTCATCAACAGACAAATGGCTGAAAAAAACGCGTATTCACACAATCGATTATTACACATCACTAAAAAATTATCAGGAATCTGTGAAATACTGCACAACATGGGTGAAGCTAGAATAAATTATGCTGAGTGGCATAAATGAGTCACAAAACGACAATTGTATAAGATCATTAATATAAAAAGTTAAGGAGAGAAGTACAAACAAAATCAGTATTGGGAGGGTTTAACAAAGATAAGACGGGCGCAAAATTAATAAATAGACAAGTTGGGTGAACACTGTATACAATAGATCTTTGTTGTTTTTGTTATGTGCTACCAAAATGACTACAACTCATAGTGACCTCATGAACAGCACCTCTGAACTTTGCACAGTCCTGCGCCAACATCATTATGTCTGACACACCTGACCTCATTGCCCACAGTCATTGTGTCAGTCCATCTCATCCAGGGTTTCCTGTCCTGCACTTACCCTTCATCCTTCCATGCATGATGTCCTTCTCCAAGGACTAACCCATCTACAGCATGCCCATAATATGTTAAACAGTTTTAAAATCCTTGCCTCCAAAGAGCAGTCTAGTTTCAATCTCTCCCAAGACAAACCTGTTTGTTCTCTTGGCAGTCTTTCGTATGTTCACTACTCTTCTCCAGCACCATAACCCAAAGGTTATTGGATTCTTCATATGCATAGCAGTGGAGAAGACTTTGGCTTGGATCAGGTGCACCTTAGTGTCTAGACTGACATTGTTACTCTTTAGCAGTCTGTAGGGGTCTCTGACAGCAGATTTTCCCAGTGCAACATATCTGTTAATTTCTAAGCAAGAAGAAATCATTAGCAATTTTAATCTTTTCTCCATCTATCATGATACTGTTTATTGGCTTGTTAGGATTTTGGGGGGGGTTTGCTTTTTTTTTTATGTTGAGATGCAACCAGTAGTTGCATTTGAAGGCTGCAGTCCTTAATCTTCTGCAAACACTTCAGATCCTCCTCAGTTTTGGTGAGCAAGTTTATGTCATCTGCATAGCACAAGTTGTTAATGAGTCCAATCTTGTTACCACATTTTTCTTCATAAAGTCTGGTCTCTCAGATGATCTGTTCAGCATTTAGATTGAAAATGTATGGAGAAAGGATACATCCCTGGCGCAGTTCTCTGTTGTTCCAGTTGGTTTTGGATGATCTTCAGCAGGATTTTGCTGGCATGTAATGTTATGTGATAATTCTTACATTCTGTTATATCACCTTTTTTGCAAATGGGAATAAATATGGCTCTCTTCCAGTCAGTTGGCCAGGTAACCAGCCTATAGATTTATTGATGGAATACCAGTTGATATATTTCAGCAAACATTTGGAGCCCTGGATGTGCTCATCAGGTTGAGAAAAAGCAGCTTTGATTAGACATTGTAATTAATTATGCTAATGTATTTTCATTAATGTCTGTGAATAAACTTAAAATGCCTATGAATGATTGCATGAAAATGCAGTTACTAACCTAACTGCAATATGCCCTTGTCCCCTGGCTAACAAGCCAGAGTGATGTTTTGAGTCTTCTGAAATTAATACTAGTTCTTAAGCAGTATGCATAAATCCACCAAATTTTGACAATTTCCTTCCTAAAGTAGCCTAGTCTCACTTCCATTCAGAAGGTTGTAGGGCTGTAGACTGGCTCAAGTCTGGGACTTGATTGAGGGGCCATGACTTTGTATTCTAGCAATTCAAGTTAGACCACCCTTCACTTTACCTGGCATACCCCTGCTTGTATAGATCAAGTAAACATTTAGTAGATTTCTCATCTGTTTCACTCCTAGGGAGCACAGCAACTAAGTAGCCAGCACCTTACATTCATAGGAATTGGACTGTTATGCTTATTGTTTTGCCTACTGTCCTTTATGGTAGCCACATTCACCTTGTCTGTGGCAATTGAGTGCCACCCCTTGGCCTCTTCAACCCTAGGCTCTAATCAATCCCTTTATGGTTCGGTATCTTAATTCATTTATCACAGTTCCTACTGTCACATCTGACATCATAAAATAGTAATCACCACAGTCTTCAAGGATGCTCAGGCTCCCTTCATGAATTTGTTCCTTCCCTTGTGGTATAAAGGTGTATCCTCTGGGTTTTCCATGAGTAAATCTGTAGGTCCAACCTGATGAATCTACTCTAACATTCTTATTTCCCTATGTCTTTGGATATCTTCTTCAGTTTAACAAGGCAGTTCTGGCATTTCACCTTGGTTTTTTATGGGCCATTGCTTAATCCTTCCTCCAGTGAGCCAACAAAATAAACTGTTAGATCTTTTCCTAACCTCTCATTGAAACATAGAAGAATCTAAGCTTAGTGAAATCCATGAGTAACCTAATCCCATCCTAGAATGATCTTGATTCAAGTGTACTTCTATGTTATCAGTACCACAGCTCTAGCCAACTGAGCGAACTGGCCTGTTACATACTGCTGTTTTAAATTATTTCTTTCAGTGTGAAATTTACATATGCTTGAGTCAAGATCATTCCAGAATGGACCTATTTATTACAGTGACTTGCTTGCAAATCCCTATCTGAAGGAACGAAGAGTATTTACATCTTTGATAGAGTAAACTCCTCACCCTGACTTAATAAAAATTCTTCTATTCCCCTCTCTCCATGTTTTCCCCACTATGATGAGTGGGTGCAGTATATCACATTAAATCTGTGCTAAATCACAAATTTAGATGTGAAAAAAAAAGATATAGTGTGATTCTTTTGTAAGTTAATTATTCCGTTGAACATTTGGTGTGCAGTGTCGTCTGCATTTTCTTCAGATTTTCTCCTCTCTGGAAGAAATCCTAGCTCTTTGCCCTGCGTGCTTTCCGTGCACGGTAATTGTCATTTCAGCAGGTCTCTGTAGCAGCAGCACCTGAAGTAACTGCTGAGGTAGCTCCTAAATGAATTCTCATCATTTGCTTCTCATTTCTCCTACTTGATTGAGACACTCTTTTTCTTGAGTGGTTTACAGTTCCACTTAAGTGGCTGATACTTAGGGTTACTATTGAATATTTTATTTGAATATCACTTTCATGATGAATGGAAGGCTGGCGCTTTTAGCTCTATAGGGTGAAGCACTCCATAGTAAGCTTTGAAAAGGAGAGAGGGAAATAACCTTCTTTGTAATGATACGATAAATGTATTTACTCTCTTTGTCACTTTGTCCTTTTATCCTTCCAGTTTGATAACCTCAAATTCTAGTGATTTATTTTTTTCAATTTTGCTTCATTGTTTCCTGTACCCAGGTGCATGCTGTTTCCGCTGTTGGTCATGATAGTGATGTAGAGCGTTATTTCTGACCTGGAAATGTGGTTTCTTTGACTCAAAGCCACATCAGTATGCCTTCCATCCTCCACTTCCTTTGCATTATTTCCTTTTAGAGGTCTCAGTTTGTCACCATTTAATCTAAAGATGATTCATCTGGGACTGACAGCTGGTAATGTTATAATAACGATACTTTTCTTTATATAATAATACTCAAATACTTACCATCTTACCGTGTCTGGGTTTATAAAGCCATTTCATTTTTAATCCCTTACAATAACCGTGTGGGTTATCTCAGTAATTTTGTCCATGCTCAGATTATGAAATTGTAGCACAAAGAGGTCAAATAACTTCCTCAGGGTTACAGTGCTTCTGAGTTACTCTGCTTCACAATTTCTACAGGAAATGAAGGCTACTTTTGCAAATTATTCTGCATGAATGAGAAGGAATTTTCCAAACTGTGCCCTGGTTGTTAAAACCTAGCTGCTTTTATTCTGGTCGTTGATAAGACCAGGGTCAAAAGCCCATTAATTAGTGCTTAAATTGATGCTTTCAAGTCAAGAAGATAAATATTTAGGTCAGTTTCTGTTCTGCTGCTGATGTGTGATAAACTTAAGGAAGGCAAGCTCTTAAATTAGTGGGACTTGAACTGGAAGTAATTAAGCCATTAATGTTTTTTTGGGTTTTTTTAATTCTCTCTTCCTTTCAGAGAGATGGAAAACTTGATGAATAGTTCCACTCTGCCACCCCTTTTTGCAGATGAAGATGGCTCAAAGGAGAGCAATGATCTGGCCACATCAGGGTAAGCAACTGCTTGAGACACTGGACCTCCTCATAGGCTTCAGAGCAAACCTGGCAAAGTATGAGGTGCTAAAATAGCAATTTGTATCATAAAAATAAAAAATAAATTTCTTATGCTTTGCAAAGAGAGTGAGAACCTTTGTGCTCTCTGTTCGGCTGTCATGAGCAGTGCTCTGGCCCTGTGAATGGACCCCTAGTTGTACAGTGGTTGAACATTCAGCTGCTAATCCGCATGTCTACGGTTTTAACAGTAGCTACCAGAGGGAAGAAATGACAGGCTGCTTCCATAAAGAGGTTAGAAACACTAAAGGGTGATTCTGTTCTGTCCTGTAGGTCTACAAGAGTCAGAGTCAACTGAACAGCAAGGGGTTTGGTCAGTTTTTTAACCTTTGTTTACCGATACAACAATTTACAGGATCTAGCAAATATCTGATAGACTAGCTTCTTTATTCAGATTGCCACAGATTTTATAACATCATTTTTCCCTCCAAAAGATCAGGTTTTTTCCTGAAGATTAGATTATTTTGGTTTTTATTTAATGATTAAGAGCTTTACCTGACTTAGTTTTTTGTTTGATTTTTCTTCTTCTTAGGATCTCTGAAAAATATACCAAAGACTGTAGAAAATGCTTAATAGCAGCTAATTTATCCTTCCCCTTAAAAATTTCATTTTAATTGAAGTTTTACTTATCCTGCATATTTAGAAATGATTTGGCAAAGAATAAATATATTCACTAATACATTGAATTAGTAGTTAATCTCTAAGATGAATTATTTTAATATTCTTCACAGCTCTGTGAAAAATAGACTACACTTTGTAATTTTATTTCCTTCCCTCATGTTCATTTCTCACCTCATTAATATCTGCCTTCTGACCTCACTACTCTGATGAAACTGTTCTGCAAGATTTTTTTAAAGGCCACCCAGTTACTAAATCCACTTCATTCCACAAAATGTGTTTTGAGTACTACATGCCAGATACTGTTCTAATAAGCACTAGATATGAAACTATTATCAAAGCATAAAAAAATCTGTGTCCCTGTAGAGCTCAAATTTTACTGAGAAAGTTAGATAATAAGCAGAATAAAGAAATAAAGTACAGACTTTGTTAACGAGATAAGTTCTATTGGATTAAAAAAGAAGCTGGAAAGGAGGATAAAATTTTGAGAGTATAGTTTTAGATAGGCTAGCAGAAAGACATTAGAGAAATGACTTTGAATAAAGACTTGAAGGAAGTATGATAAATAACTTACAGTTTCCTGGGGAAAGAGTCTTCTAGGCAGAAGCCTTTGAGGCTAGAGTATTTCTGCCTTGTAGAAATAGCCAGGAGGTTAGGAGGCTGGGAGTGCCCTACACAGGGGTAAGGATGATAGAAAGCAGCCTCTTCTCAGCCTTTGATGAATAACACAAAGATTTTACTACAAG